TTTCAATGCCCACTGATGTTTCTTCAAAAAGTTCTATTGTCTTTCAATTGTTTTCAGTAAACTTTTTTGGAGCACTGATGTGGCACCATAAGCTAAGCACTGAACTGCTAACTGCAAGGTTGTCAGTTCGACCCGACCAGCCACTCCTTGGAAACCTTATAAAAGGATTGCTATGAGTTCAAACTGACTCCAAGGTACTAAACACCAGCTTCTATAGTGATCACTGGAATGCATTATCAACTGATGCAACACTGCTTTGAAAACCAGACAATGTCAATAGATTTCATTTCCCCTTGAAACTTAATTTTTAATTCCTTACTTTGTGCTTTTGGAGAAATTAATGCAGATGTTCTGAGAATGATGACTTTCAGGCCTCTGTGTTCACAATGTTGAAATGCCACTCACGTGGTTCAAGGCATTATCTAATGTTTTAAATTGAAATGTGGTGTCCTGGTAAGTTTCACTAATTCAGGGCCACAGAAATTGGTCTATGTGAAAATAACTCTTAAATTACAAGTTCACGGGAATGTTTACAGAACCTTAGCAGGTGAGAGCTTTCTTTAAAGATGACATTCCTTAATTGCAAAGATGAAAGCAAGAGTATACTTTCTACAAGGAATTTAACTCTTCCTCCATTAAGTTTGAATTGCTACAAACATTGTCTGTATCAAGTACTCATTCTGCTTCATCAGCCTTGCCTACTGACCTGATCCTAGAGTCTGAAAAGTAAGCTGACACTATTACTTTGAAATTTGATCACTTTAGGGCTCTGGTATTGGTGCAACATTTGCAAATTCCTCTAAGGCCTCTAGCAAGTCTCACATCCCAAAGCCCTGACTTTAGAGCCATGATTTAATAGGATCTTTGTTCCCATAAATGCAAGAGGATCCCTGAATTCCATTAAAATATGATGACCTATAGCCCTAGTGATTTCACACAAAATTAGACATGTTGTCATGGAGATCACAGTTCAATCAAGCCCAATTGAAGTGCTAGGGAGCAAGTGGGATGGAGTTGTTCAGCTGTGGTTTGGTCTTCATGTGATTATCACCCAACTCTTGGAAATAATGCAATATGTTTTTATGTATCCAGAAGAGGGTGCCAGATTTCTATTAAACGGCAGACAGGTACATCCATGAGGAACCCTGGTAGAGCACTTGGCTGCTAACTGAATGGTGTGCGGTTCAAACCCACCAATCACTCTGCAGCAAAATGTGCCTGATAGTTTGCGTCCAGTAAGATGACAGCCTTGGAAAGCCTACAGGACAATTTTACTCTGTCCTACAGGGCGCCCCACCACCACTGCCTCAGGGACCACCACAGGATCACTATGAGTGAGAAGAGACTCAGTGGCAATGAGTTTGTTTGTCTGTTCCTGTTTTGTTTTACATCCACGGCACACAAAGTGCCCAGATGTATTTTGAGTCATTGAAACCAAGTAATGTGGATTATATATTCATTCAAGGTTTTCTAACTCTAAGATTTATTCTCTTTCTGGAAGAAGAGCATCAGAGATTGACAAGATTTCAGGACGAAGCTGAAATACACGGACAGCATAAACCAGAACATGGGCAGAGTTAGGAGTTGTATATTTCAGGACTGACTGATCCATTGCCAACATCTTGTATCTGAGGGCTTAGATAAGTTGAAAATGATTGCTTTTTAATATTATCTGCCATCCATATATCTTTATTTGAACAATGCTCCATAAAGCAAAAAACAAACAAACAAAAACTATAAATAGAACATTCTCTAGTGTTGCAGTATACGATAAGCACTAGACTGCTAACTAGAAAGCCAACAGTTCAAACCCACCAGCTGCTTCTTACAGACCCAGTCCAGGGTGGCTAGGAGTCAGAACCAACTTGACCGAACTTGGCAATAACAGAAAAACTTTCCTCTGTCACTAATTTGTACAAGAATAAACTAATAGATGCTTCATTCACCCAGAACACATTGCTGAAAACCAGTTGGTTTTAAGCTTCGTGCTAAGGTATCAAAATAATTTTGCACTTGAAGATACGGTCTCCTGTGTCTTGTAAAGCTGTTGCAACACCCTATGAGTTAGTACTACTACCTCCCAGGGTCACATTATTGTTGTTGTTAAATGCCGTCGAGTTGGTTCCAACTCATTATGACTGTATAGGGTTACCAAGGAGCAACTGATGGGTTTGAACCACCAACCTTGTGGTTTGCAGTCCAGTGCTTAGCCTATAGTGCCACACCAGAAATCCAAGATCACATTGTTGTTGTCGATTCCGACCCATAGTGACCTTGTGTAGGGTTTCCAAGGAGCAGCTGGTGAGCTTGAACAGCCAACCTTACAGTTAAAATGGCTTTGCAGTCTGGCACATTAACCCACAGCACCACACCAGAACTGCAAGATCACATTGTTGTTGTTGTTGTTGTTAAGTGCCGTGGAGTCAGTTCTGACTCATAGCAACCCGGCACAGGGTTTCCAAGGCTGTAAATCTTTACGGGAGCAGAGTGCCTCATCTTTCTCCCACGGAACCGCTGGTAGTTTCGAACTGCTGACCTTGTGGTTCACAGCCTGTCAAAAGTTGTGAAGCTAGGCTGCCCCCTGTGATTCTGTTAGGAGCTCCCCACAGCTCTCCTGTGAGAAAGAAACTCACACTCGTCTACAGTCTGCTAAGCCCAGGCCTTGAGGTGGCAACATTGCCTACAATCTCGTCACCTGTGCCCCAGACAAATGCATGATGGGGTATTGCCATGTTTGTGTACACAGTGAGGCACTGGGGTCCTGTTTGTCTGGGTCTGCCCTTTCTAATTCACGCTCAATCTTCCTGCTTACCTCAGACTCTCAGGCTGTATTAGGCCAGCTGTCATCTCCTTACAGTTGATAACTAACCATATGAACATCTTTTTTATCCATTCTTTCATTCATGTATTTGTTCAGAGATACCCAGTCTTCTGAATTGCTATTGTTGGTGGGACCAACAGTTAAATACTCAACTACTAGCCAACAAGTTAGTGATTCAAATCCACACAGAGGCACCTTGGAAGACATCACAGCCTTGAAAAACACATAAAGCACAGTTCTGCTCTGCATACATGGGGTTTCCAGGAGTCAAAATCAACTCAATAGTAAACAGCAACAACCTATGTCGCATGCACTTGTAGCACCCACATTCAAGTTCAGGTACATCACCTACCTGTGCCTCTGTCCAAACTCTCCTTTTTATTCACAGAGTAATCATCCAAGTCCACAGATTCCGTTTTCAACAGAGTTTCTCTTATACTTTGTTATTGAGGCGCCGGACCGCAAAGTTGTTTGAACTGCAGGGTGGGTAGTTCAAGCTCACCAGCCGCTCCTCAGAAACCCTATCAGGGTCGCTATGGGTCGGAACTGACTCAACAGCACTTAACAGTAATAACAACAATCCTCTCATGTTGTCATCTATAGAAGGAAATAGAGTCTCCTTTAGAGAGCAAGAGATGTTCACATCCTTGTTTTTAATGTTAACTCATTGAGTTGACATATATCCTTGGTTCCTTACTGACCCAGATCCTAAATGCCCCTCTGTCCAAGATCACAGACCTGCACCGCAAAGTGACATTTAACACAGTGGAGGCCTATCAGAAGGAGAGCAAACCCAGAATTGTTTATAGCAATCCCCACAAGAGGAGTAATATAAAAATAAGTGGTTATTACATGCTACGAAAGACTGGAGTCAGGCAAAAAACTAACCATCAACATAGAGCACGTACCTCAGATTGTTGGTGACCCGCTAAAAGAAGTCAGTGACACAATTACTGTATATGTTGTTAGGTGCCTTAGAGTCAGTTCCAAGCATACATGCAATGAATGCAACTCTGGCCAATGGTGCTTTGTTGTCACTACCGATGCTGTGTTTGCATCTACTGGGGCACCCAATGTGTCAGTCCATCTCATTGAGGGTCTTTCTCTTCTATGCTGACCTTCTACTTCAGCAACCATAGTGTCTTTTTGCTAAGACACATCCCTCCTGATGACATGTCCAAAGTAGTTAAGATGAAGTATTGCCATGTTTGCTTCTTAGGAACATTTTGGGTGTACTTCATCTAAGATAGATTTGTTCATTCTTCTAGAAATCTACAGTTTATTCAATGTTTTCGCTCACACCATAATTCAAAGCCTTCAGTTCTTCTTCAGTCTGTCTTATTCACTGCC